AGCAGATCTCGCCCCATGCAAAATTTCGTGCCGCCGCCTCTGGGGAGAACCAGTCTGTCTGCACATTTACTTCACTTTAAGATGAATAACAACACACTAGGACTCTTATGATTAGTTTATCGGGTTTGCAAATATTCCTATTCCGAGAAAATTACTCAACTGGCATTGCATAGCAGCATATGCCATGACAAAATTAAACCAGTAACACGAATCAATGACATATATCGAACTGATGGCCAATCGATTAAGCAAGCTCGTAAACAAGTTGGTTTACGTCATATACACTCCTAACTGTTAATTATTATAATACGTAGCAAACAAATAATTGGCACTGGTCACACCACTTAGTGAATTCATGTTCTGGCATGCTTTTTAAAATACGGTGACTAAAATTCCAAAGTATTTAATTTTGACCGAAGAATGCTCCCTACATGCTCAAATTGCGTCTTTTCTTGTGATTTACTACTAGCAACAGCATTCACTGACGACAAGACCTTAAAATTCTCATAAATAGTACATTAACCCCAAAATATTGATAACAGGTTCAACTGTACAGTGTTATGATAACTGTAGGTCATGTTTATGCAGTTTTAATATTTTTGATCGTGTTTAAATAATTTGGTTCAAACATAGCTGTATTAAACAATTCCTTTCAATTTTGCACATATAGTCTTGATTCTGCATAAAATGAAATTCCTGTTTGCCAGAAAACATACCAGCAGTGCTCGTTTGATGAAATACTGAGACTTTCAAATTCACACGCTTCATGGATTCGCCTATATAACTACACGAAATTGAAAACTCGCATTCCAGTATATTATCAAACATATAATGTATGCATCCAAACAGATTTTACAATAACATCACACCATTTTTTTTAGATGGAATTTCTAAAAAAAAAATAGATTACAAGTTTTCAAAATATTGCTTTGAATATTGAGTTTTTTACAATGTCTCTTTAACATGTGTTTAGACACTTGTGTCATGTTCCATGACATAGGTCATTCTATCTGTAGACTATGATAGTTATCACTAACTTGACAAGGAGACTCCAAAGGAATAAGGTCATTGATATTATGAAAAACATACAACGACATCTATCACAACGTGTTTTGCAGGAAATCTACCTCAAACAATACATGACAGCCGCACGAGTTACAGTATCCATTTATGTGCTCTACTGTGATGAATACAGACATAATAGTTTTAATGGTGCATTCCTTGTCAAATCATTATTTTTGAGAGTAATACATTTCATCTAAGTTTTTTTTGGTTGGTTGACAATCCCAGCTTTACAGATTCACACTATAGTAATCGCGACATTCTTTTGACATTCATTTTTACGTGCATCGTGGACCAGTCTGTGATATGCTTGTTTTAAAATTAA